TGGCCGCGTAGCTGGCTCTCTGGCTGCCGCTGCTGTTGCTGCTGTTGCGCTCTTCTAATAGCTGTACCTTGCGCTTTGTCGGAAATAACACTTGTCAACATCAGAAAATGCGGGAAAGCGTGTGTGCCGATCACAAAACAACTGGAAGTGAGGTGGGCCATGCACGCGCATGCACGCATGATGTGTGGACCACTTCACAGTGAGAGAGAGGGTGTCTGTCTCTTTGGCGTATAAAGGCGGAGCATACTCTTGGTATCTATTTTTTCTGGCTCCTTACAGATACCTATTATCTCTTTTTTTTATATTATTCACCTCCTCTACAATGCTGTTTGCAAAGTCCCTTGCTCTCGCCGCCATCGCCGTTGTCGCAGTCTCTGCCCAGGGCATTGGTGAGCCTGTTGCTATCACTGCCAGCACGTCCAGCAGTACCACTACTGGCACCTCTTCCTCTGGCCCCTCTCCCACTGGTACCACGCCGACTGTCTCGACCACTCCCTCTAGCAGCCCCACTACGACGGTCACTAACCCTTCTCCCACCACCTCGCCTACCACTTCTCCAACCACCTCGCCCACCACTTCGCCTACCACCTCGCCCACCACTTCGCCTACCACCTCTCCTACCACCTCTCCTACCACTTCGCCTACCACTTCTCCTACCACCAAGCCCACCGACACGAAGGAGACCGACACGAAGAAGACTGACACCAAGAGCAACGACTCGTCAGAGTCGGACTCTGAGTCGGAGTCGGAGTCAGACTCGGACTCTAAGCCGGAGAGCGATTCAAAGTCCAACGGCGCTGGCAAGATTGTTGGCTCGTTTGCTGCCGCTGCCATTGTCGCAGCAGCCTTCTTTTAAGCCAAATACGTCGCTATTTTAATAAATATATTAAATACTTTCTTGTCAAAGTAACAAGCTCTTCATGAAAGCATGCCATCTCTTGATTTCATAACAATGACAACAACACCTGGCCTTTACTGTTATACTCAGCTATTCCTTGGTCAACACACTCGCTATACAAAGTGGTAGCGCGGAAGCTGTGCACGGCGCTCTTCCTATTAAATGAAAGATACAAGGAGACGAAGAAAAAAGTTAGGCCAACGTAATCGACAAGATGCAAAAGGACTAGAGCATTATACCAGCAACTTACCATTGACAGATGTGTGTCACTATAGACGAGCCGCGACGTTTTGGCCTTTGCTGGCTTTGGTTTGGCATCTACAAGAGCAGGCACTGGTGCATGTACATCGCCCGGAGGCGGCGCACAAGCAGAAACAGGCGTAGTCAACATCGATTGAGCGTCAAGCGACACACTAGGCTTACCAGGCATGCTATCTGGCGAGGCCATGGCTGTTGGCAGCGAGACCATGGCTGTTGGCGGTGAGACCATAGCTGTTGGCGGTGGGCGTGGCGGGAGTGCTTGCCGAGGCATCGAAAGAGGCACTGGAGGCACTGGTGGACGTGTAGTGGGAATCATTGCATGCGGAGGGGGTAGCGGTGGCCGCGGTGGCAGAGTCATTGGCCCGTTTGGAGAAGAGTCAAAAGGCCTGGTTGGAAGCCCACCAGTTGCCATTGGAGGAAGCGGAGGACGCGGGTTATACGGCGCTCCCAAGCTCTGCTGGCCTGGATAAGGCGGCGCAAAGTGATGGTAATGATTTGGCGGCACCGGCGGAGGGGGGCGAGGAAACCCTGAAGGCATAAAGTGGTTTGGGTGCATATAACCAGCGTTGCCGTTAGGCAGAACGTGTGCAGGAGGATAAGGAGGAGGAGGAAGAGGGGCCATGCCGAACTGTTGCTGCTGTTGCTGCATAGTCTGCCGGTGCTGTTCTAGCTGCAGTCGTAGTTGCTCTGCACTCACTTGCGCCGCCGATCCAGAACCACCGCCACCATCTTGGCCAGGATAACGAGGTCGCTTGACGACTGGCTCGCCTAGTCTTTCGCGCATCCGATTCTCGTAGTCGATAACGTCTTCTTCTGGGATGCCGTCGCTGCCAAAGATCTCAATGTTTGCCGTGTCGCGTCCAGGTATGGCGTTGGGCACGCGCGTAATGTTTTCCTTGTGTACCTGCGCAACGTGGATAAACATTCCTCCCGCCGAATTAAGTCGCCTCGAGCAAATGTGGCACTTGAAGTGCTTGGCTTTTTGATGCTGCACCAGCACCTTTTCGTCTTCAAAGTCGCGCTCGCAGTACCAGCACCAGGGCTTGACTTCCATGCGTTTGTTCTTTTTGCGGCCCATTTTGAAATAATTAAAAAAAAAGGAAGAAACAATTGATTGAAGAGGGAGAGAGAGGAAAATGATTTGTTTGCTTTCCTTTCCCCTTTGCCTCATCTCACTTTAAATTCGTAGCATGTGTAGCTTTAGTGACCTTTTTCAGTGCGAGACACTGCTGCCGGCGGCCGTCGCCATTGTTGCTGGCGGAGCTGCCGTGCTGTATTTTATGCTACTTGGCCAACCCGCTCTGCCAGCGATCCCCTTTGAGCTCAAGCCTCCGGCAGAGAGCTTGCCAGGCTGGAAGTCTGGAGACATGTTGGATCAGCCTAGCATCATAGTCGAGAGCCGCCCCGACCTCATCCAGTGCTTTGACCCTGCCACCGGCCGCTCCCTGGGCCAAGTTGCCGCGACCACTGTCGACCAGCTCAACGACAAGCTCAGGCGTGCGCGCAGAGCGCAAAAGGCGTGGGCGCAGACGACATTTGAGCAGAGGCGACAGGTGCTGCGCACGCTCAACGAGTTTGTGCTGGGACACCAGCGCGAGATCTGCCAAGTGGCCTGCCGCGACTCTGGCAAGACTCTGATTGATGCCACGCTGGGCGAGGTGCTGACGACCAGCGCCAAGCTCCAGTGGACGATCAAAAATGGCGAGAACGCGCTAAAGGACGACCAGCGTGACCCTGGCTTTATGATGATGTACAAGAGAGCCAAGGTCGTTTACCAGCCTCGCGGAGTCGTCGCTGCGCTAGTTTCGTGGAACTATCCCTTTCACAACACTGTCGGTCCTGTCATTTCGGCCCTATTCTCTGGCAACGCCATTGTCGTCAAGGCCAGCGAGCACGTTGCTTGGAGCATGGCCTACTGGGAGCAAATGGTCAAGCGTGCGCTCAACGTCTGCGGCCACGATCCCGAACTTGTGCAGTTTGTCACTGGGTTTGCTGATATCGGAAACGCGCTGACGTCGTCGCCACTCGTCGACCACATTACCTTTATCGGCTCGCCTGAAGTGGGAAGGCTGGTGATGAGGTCGGCCAGCGCCAACTTGACGCCCGTGACGCTGGAGCTGGGTGGCAAGGACTGCGCCATTGTATTTGCTGATGCCGACATGGCTCAGTGCATCCCTGTTTTGATGCGTGGCGTTATCCAAAACGCCTCGCAAAACTGCATTGGTATCGAGCGCATTCTGGTCCAAGAGGGCGCGTACGACAGCTTTGTCGCCGAGATGGAGCGTCGTATCAAGGCAGTCAGGCTTGGTGCTGTTCTCGACGACGGCGATACTGGCGTTGACTGCGGCGCAATGGTCTTGTCCAACTGCTTTGGCCGTCTTGAGTCCCTGATTGCCGATGCGGTAGCCAAGGGTGCGCGGTGCCTAGCTGGCGGAAACCCCTACGCCCACCCTCGCCATCCCCGCGGCCAGTACTTTGAACCCACGCTTCTAGTCGATGTGACACCCGAAATGGACATTACGCTGAACGAGACCTTTGGCCCAGTCATGGTGATTATGAAGTTCAAGGATGAGCAAGACGCGCTGGACAAGGTCCACTCCTCGCCCTATGGCCTTGGATCGAGCGTGTTTTCGGGTGACCGCGCACGCGGCAGGCGTGTGGCCCTAAAGCTGCGCACGGGAATGGCCAATGTCAACGACTTTGGTGTTAACTATATCTGCCAGGCTCTGCCCTTTGGCGGTGTGGGCATCAGTGGGTTTGGCCGCTTTGCCGGGCCAGAAGGACTGCGTGCACTGTGCGTCGAAAAGGCGTTTACTGAGGACAGGTTCCCCTTTGTCAAAACGCCCATTCCACCTATCGTTGACTATCCCATCCAGGACACTGAAAAGGGATACCAGTTTACCCAGAAGATTGTTGCATTTGCCTATAGCGATTCGTGGTGGGCATCAATCAAGGCCGGTCTTTGCTTGGGCAAACTATAAAAATAAGAATATTGACTACTGGTTAGAAAGCTGGGATTACATGCTCACTGGCAGATTTCTTTAGTATTTGGATACAAAGGCAGAATGTAATAAAGAATATGTAGTTAGTATGATATTTCAGGTCAAGTGAGTGTCATGTAAGTGAAATTAAGGAAAAGAGAAACGGCCACATGCGATATTTTCAGCGTGTCCAGTGGGGGTAGCGCTTAGGTTGCTGTGCATGGATGCATTAGCCAGGTTCGTCTTTTGCGACACTATGAGGGGCGGGCTTAACAACCGCCCTTTTTTTATTATGATGCAACATTTAAGCATGAATAGCTAAGAATCCATACGCCGACCCGATAACCAGGAGAGCAGGGCACATTGCCCTGAAGAAACGGCATACTGCAATTCTCAGCTAGACCTTGAATGAAAGCTCGAGCCGCCTAAGGTAAGAAAAGGCCAGAAACCCCCCTGTCGTCGCCAGTCTCAAGCTATGGATCAGTTGAAACCCGAAAAGACCCTGAAAAGGTTCCTTAAAGGCTGCTCCAAGAAGCACAGATCAAGATACCTCTTTTCCTCGCCAGCCCATTGCTCATCGATAGGAGAGATAGACAAACTGCAGCATACTGGGAGAATATGCCTGAGACAAGACTGCGGGGCAACAATCTTAGAAAATTGGATCTGTCCAGGATCCGAACCAGGGACAATCTGCAAAGTCGTAGACCGCGCAGAGGAATTGGAGGCTCTCCCGCCCCAGCAAGCTAATACCTCCAACCCCCTCCAACCCGGCGCCTTGCTTTTTGGGCAGAGTGGCCAGCGTGCTATAAATATGTGATAAATTGCGTGTCCCTGTGAAAAAGGTCTAAAAATTAGGCGTGGGTCAGATGGCCGAGCGGTTAAGGCGTGGCACTCAAGTTGCTATCTCGAAAGAGGCGTGGGTTCGAGTCCCACTCTGATCAAGTAGAGTTTTTTGTTGCTCTTATCCATGTCATTTTTTGGATTATCGAGTATAGACTGTTGCTTTTATTTTGTATAAATTACAAAGACTTTACACTGTTTCAACAATTGCTATATACTTGAAAGATGTTTGATCAACTCTTTTGCCTTTATACTCTCTTTATGTGTTCTGCGTACTTTAATAGCTTTGCCTTTTTTCTGTCACTTTTTTGACTGCCAATATTTTTGCGTCATTCTTTTTTACCAGCAACTCTATTTTTTCGACTTTTGGTGCCATGTCTACTTTTGTAACTGACTATGATCCCAACCTGGGCCAACTGTGCATTCGACCAGCAATGGATGCCACTCTCCCTGTTGCTGGCACTCTGACTGAGCCGTTTCCTCCACTGACATTTATGAGCCAAAGCCTGTATGGGCTGCGTAGAGGCATTAAGAATGGCTCCAGAATGGCTCCACCTACATGTCAGCGCATTGGGTACCACGCCCGACCGGATTTCTTTTTTGTCCAAGAAATCAAAGGGCTGTCAGATCCTTTTGGCTCGTTTGTTGAACACATTGGCAATTACTAGCCATTTGTTGCACCCCAGGAGCGTGGCCCAAGGTAAGACTTTTAATAAACGCTGCTTCATGCTTGCCAGCTTATAACACTGCTATACCAAAATGTAGACTATTTAATTGGCATATAGGGAGACAGCTGTCCAAAGCCGCAGTACGACACATCCATTCTTGTCCACCGTGCTGCTGCATTTGAGGGCACCAGGCTGGAGGCAGCCAGTACATGGTATCAGACTTTGGTCACTGTGCCCAAGCTCGCCCTCCTTTTGGTTATCGTGCATAGACAAATAAAGGGCCGGCCACCACAGAAACTTTTTTGTGGTCTGTTGACGCTACTCAGAAAGCACCAGATGCGTGGGTGGACAGTGGTCATTGGTGGTGATTTTAATCTTGCACTGGGAGGTTTTGACCGTCTGGATCACCAGAATAACGAGCCCAATTTGGAGCTGTTTGAGGGCCTGTGCACCGGGCTTCAGCTAGTCGTCGTTGTTCAGCACGTTCAGTTATTTGACCCCACCATGACCTCGCATTTTACGTATTCCAAAAAACACCAGTATGTGTCGCGGATTGATTTATTCCTTATTCCGGCGTATCTAGCGACTGCAGGACAAGTTACCTACACACAGGAGCGGGTCAAGGGCGACAGCTTCTGGTACGACCACGACGAGCTGTCATTGCAGCTGAATTAGCCACTCAAGCTGGTTGTCACTGGAGCACCCTTGGACATTCCAATTAATTTGGACATTTCTTTCACGCTGGTGCACGTGACCGGGCACGTCAGGGATTTTACTTGCAGCACCAGCTTTCCGTCTCTGGACACGTTTGTCAAGCAGACAATCTTTGGCCCTAACCCATTTATCGAGTATGAGTGGATACTGCGAGAGATCCATTGGTTCCAGGCCGGCCACTTTACAAACCCTGACCGGCCACACTGTAGCAATTATGAGCTACACCTCGAAGGGCCAGACACAATTGCACAGCTCGTTTATCCACCAGTGCCTTTTGTGCGCGAGCCGCCATTTTCATTTCCACCTGTTTCTTCGGATGTTGGATTTGCACCGCAGGTTTCTTCATTCGTTTTCGTCACCACTCACTCGCAGGAAAATGGTACGCTCTGCATCCCCGTTTTTGGGGCGCGAGATCCATGCCACCTGCATGCGTCTAAAGGACCTTGGTGTGCCTGGCCCAAATGGCATTTCGGTCGACTATTACCTGCACCACCCTCGCGCCCGTTCTCTCTTGAGCCAGCTGGCCAAATTTTGGTTTGCTTGGCCCGAAATTATGACCAAATTTATGGCGGCTAGCAAGACAATTGTGCTTGGTCAGATCAGCGGCAGCTTTGACAGCATGCGGGTAGTTCAGCGGCACAACATTGAGCCACGGATTTTCACTAATATCTTGGCTGAGCAGGCCATAGCCACTATTGGTCCATACATATCTCCAGAGCAGTCAGCAATTGTTCATGGACGCCATATCCGCGACTCGATTAACTTGCTCACAATGGCGCAGACTCACCTGGCCCATTCAAACAAAAAAGCTATTTTCTGCTTTTGGATTGCGCCACGGTCAGCGGCATTTCTTATGCAGTCATTGAGCGGGTTCTAGAAAACTACAGTCTACCGGCTAGACTTGTCCGAGCGACTCTCATGCTCTATCGGCTAATATCTGTAGACGACAAGCCAAGCAGCGTGGCCTTTGATCCATGAAAGAGTAAACTGATATGTATTGGGAAAGTAAAAAAAAAAACCAAATAATGGAAAAACGATCACAACACCCCAACCCCGTCGTGGGGACCAATTAATGGGCGTATGAGCCTAGTCCGTCTCCGGCTCTTGTGTCCGGGCTACGTCCTCGGCGATGCCAAGAGCTTTCACTGTCCCGCCTTGCGGCAATGCAGCTTCCACTCTCCAGCCCTGCCCCTGTCCATTTATTTTTATGTCGGGGTTTTCATCTTTTCCACATGGCGATTTGCCTTGCCTAGCTTTGGGTATGTCGTTTGACAATGTAGAGTTGTCTTTATTTAGATTGTCCCTGTTTCCCGAGTTGGCAAGTGCCAGCGGAGACCAGTATTTCTCAAAACTTGGCCAGCAAATGCTGTTGTTAGCCATACGCTGTGTTTTTACGCTCGCAGCATGTGGGTCGAAGCGGCTGCTTTCCAGTACATGGCATTCGTTGTATTTTAGCTCCCTGCGCAGCCTCGGGAAGATGTACTTGTGCATCACTGAGTTGTGTAGCCCAAGCCATGCCAATGCGGCCCCGCCAAGCGTCTGCAACTGCTAGCGTTGGAATTTGGCGAGATCTGCTGGCTGATATCTCTGCCATCCATCATCAATAGTGCCCGATCTACGCCCCTTGCCATCAAGAGATCAGCAAATTAGATTTTGCCATAAACAAAGCTTTGTGGGGCAGGAGCTTATTGAAAACAGTCTGGGAGAGGGGGCACAACACCACTTGCCTTGTTTATTGCTTTGTTTTTGCACTTTCAATCTCGCATTCCACATTCACACAGTTTCTTTTCTCATTTTCTACCACACTTGGCCGCCATACTCTGAAAAAGGCGACTAGCAGCAAATGGCCAAAGGCTCAAAGAACAGCCGAAAGCGCTCGAGCGATCAGAGG